GCTCCGCGCGGTCCGGAGCGTGCCCGACGGCGGCTGCGCAGGTGAGGGACCCGGCGCGGAGCGGAGCGGGAGCACCGGCGGGGCCCCGGGCTCGTGGGGGCGCCTTCTCCGTTCTTCGGAGAATCAGCGCTTCGCGACTTTGGGAAGGGCTGCCGCTGGCCCAGGTGTGCGGGATTAGGGGAGGCGGCCGCCCTTCCCTCCCCCATTCTCTCCTGCAGCAGTTCCCCCATCTTAGTCGTCCCCCTTGTACACGCGTCTAGGAACGGACGGTGGCGCCCCAACTGTGGGATGGGGGAGGCCGAGGGATCAAAGAGGAGGGCGTGGGGGCTGCAGCCGCTTTGTGGGGTTCTTCCCTGACACACACCCTCTCCGCAGCCGGCCAGGTCCCAAGGCCCGGACCAACAGCGTCCGCCACCGCCCGTTCCTCTGGAGGCTGAGGAGAGACACAGACACCCCCAGCTTGGGCTGCAGCTTCCTCTCCTCCTCGCCCTCCTGCAGCCTTGCCCCTGGAAGGGGGCTTGAGTGAGGTTCCTCACTGATCCTCCATCTTGAGGCAGAGGGCAGACCCCAGGGCCTGCCTGGCCCTGGGAAGTGGAGGGGTGTGCCCAGCTGCTCCTGCCCTCCACCGGGTTGGGGGCCAGATGTAGACCAGAGCAAGGAGCTCTGGTGCCGTGCTGGGGGGCGGTGGCAAGGCTCCCAGCAGCTGGGGGGCCTCGGGAGCACGCTGCTCCAGGAAGTGGGGCTGAGGAGCCCCAGCTGTGGGGGCCCTGTCTGGGGCTCCTGCCTCGCCTCTCCAAGGACAGGAACCATCTGGAGGGAGAGGCCTGGGTGGCCCCAAGGACAAGGGAACTGCAGGCTCCTGCCCCTCCCCTCTGCTCAGTTTTGAACCTAGGATCTTCTGGGGGTTTCACGGTGGGGATGTTTGCTGGAAATGACTCTGACTTCTGTTCCTCCCCCCCAGGGCCCCTCCCCTGCCTGCCTGGTTTCCCTGTGAGAAGGGCGTCAGGCTGGGTGCGGGTGGAGGGCTGGTGAGTGGCAGGGGAGGGCGCAGCAGGTGCAGTGAGCAGCTGTGAAGCCGAATACGACGTGTGATCCCTGCTGAGCAGCCCAGGATTTGGCACTAATCTGGGCAGGCGTGCCACGCTAGTCCTGAAGAGCTTCGGACTTCTCACCTCGGACCGCTGCCACTCCCTGGGAGGGAGTGCCCGCCGTCCAGGGCCACGAGGGGCCACGAGGGGTGTGCGGTGCAGTGTGT